GTCGTCGTCGTCGTCGTCGTCGTCGTCGTCGTCGTCGTTGACGTCATTAAAAGGGACATTCAAGTCCAACAACTATTCATCGTTTCACCACACCTCCCACAGATGTTGAGCCTTCTGGAACACATGTACCATGAGCTGGGCCTGGTGGAAGAGTTCAACATTAACCCTATCGTACTCAAGCGATGGCTGGTAAGTCCTTTGTTAACCCAATAATGCCCAGGGTTGTTAAGTCTCTTGCTAACTCCATCGCACCCTAAACACCAGCGTCCCCGGTGTAGCGGATAGACACTTTGCCGTCGCATGCAGAAGATGTAGAGTTCAATTCTCCAGTGGGAAGGATTTATTATTGAGTTTCTTCGTCTTTCTACAGGGGTGAGGTTTCTTTCTCAGTCCAGATAGGCGTTCACAGGCAGGGTCGAATTCTGCCTCAGAAATTACCTAAATTGTGTCAATGGGGACGCAAAGTACATCCATTAATCAGGAAAATAACTACCAAGAGAATAACTGTTGGGGATTGAACATGTGGCCTCTGGAGCACAAGCCTGAGGCCCTAGCTAACCATGAAGGGGGCATAAATAACTCACAATGGTTTTGTACAAAATAACCAGTCATTATCAAGGGGGAAACGTTCGTCGGATGGTCCTCTTGGAGTGTGCCATAACAATATACCAAAAAAGGAATAGCAAGGGTTGGATGGGGGCATGGTGGGGGTGGGGAGGGAATTGGTCATTGTGTAAGTGGTTGTCTTGGATAGGTGGTCGTTAAAACAGGTTTGACTGCTTTTCCTCACATCTCTTTATCTGCGACCAGGAACAATACAGTAAAAAAACAAACTTATGACAAGGCAAGGGCCCAAGCCAGCCTATGAAGGGGTCGTAATTAAGCTACCCAGGATCGTTGCTGTATTTTCATTGTATTTTCTTATTATTTTTTGGTACCATCCATTATCGAGGAGAAAAGTTGCCCTCTTTGTCGAGTGCGAGTTGTACAACGTGTCATAACATTGTAAAAAAAAAGAACGCAAGGGAAGGGGGGGGGGATATAAGTGGGGTCGTTTTTACAGGTGATTGTCTTACACAAGTGGGCTAGCCGCTATAAGAGCAGGTTCGACTGTGTTCCATTTATAGTTTCTTCGATTTTCCTTGGTATTTCCATTGTACTGTAACCCCCCTCAAGCTCTGCCTCCCTGAGAACTACAGTAACGACCCGTATTTGTATTACGAGCCAAAGGACCTAACCATCCATTGAAGGGGGCGTAAGCCACTCACTGCCCTTTCGTATTTCCTTCCTTCCTTTGGTCAAAGTAAAGCGAAAAAGCGTTACAATACACACACACACACACACACACACACACACACACACACACACACACACACA